TGGCAACATCCGAACCGGGCGAGAGCTCATTCCGGTCCATGTCATTCACCGGATCAGATTTGGCCTGTAATTATCTTTGCGGGAAACCAATCAGCACGGGTGATGGGTGAGAGAGAGAGAAAGAGAAAGAGAGAGAGAGAGAGAGAGAGACCTACATGATTTCTTTGCCAACAAAATGAAACAGCTCTTAGTTTATTAACTGTATGTTGGGTCACTCCTTGAGCGCATCTTCCATTTCAATAAGTACATTTATGTAGGATTTTAACCTATATTAATAAATAATAACAGGTTGCCACAAGCTAAATGTCTTAGTAGAGGTTTAATTCAGGCCTTGTGCTCAAGGTCATGACCTTTTAAAATGCTTATTAGAAAGAGAATACAGTTCTGATATACCAAGATTCGTGATAAATCAGCATTGAGTAATAAAAAAAACATTTCACAGAAACTTAAATCATGCATAAATGACAAATATATACACAGCGTCAGAATGAACTTCCTACACTCAGAAAAAAAAGGTACAAAAGCTGTGACTAGGGCGTTACCTTTTCAAAAGCTACTAAATTATACCATTTAGGTGTTAATATGTACACTTTAGTTACTAATGTGTACCTTTAAGGCACTAATATGCACTTATTAGGGTAAATAAGGTACAAAGGTGTACCTTTTTCAAAGGAATCACACCAGTGGACAGCTTTCATACCTTTTTTTCCGAGAGTGTAAAATTATGGTAACTGTACATTATTTAATAACAGAGGTGGTATAGTTACACTTACAGTGTTTTTAAAAACACAATGTGGTCAATTAAAATAGTATTTATAAACTGAGATCAAATAAAAAATAAAGTACTACCAAAACTGGGAGAAGTTTGTAAACATTGATCTGGGAACAGGCCAAAAAGCTACAGATGAAGAAAACATTCGAAAATAAAAGTTAGGGCCTATATGCATAGTTATTGTTTTTACGTGCACATAATAGCATAATAAAATAAGAGCCACATTAATTATGCATATGCTAACACAGTGGTTCCCAACACTGGTCCTGGAGGCACCCCTACCCTGCACGTTTTGCATGTCTCCTTAATCAAACACACCTGATTCAGGTCATCAGCTCATTATTAGAGACTCCAAGACCTGAAACTGGAGCGTCAGAGAAAGGAGACATGCAAAGTGTGCAGTGTTGGGGTGCCTCCAGGACCAGTGTTGGGAACCACTGTGCTTCGAAAAGCACGTTTCGTTCTGTTCATCTGTCTTCACAGCCCTACTGACTTAAAAGGTAATCAATCAAGTCAGTCGTGTGTATGCAGACATCTATAAATGACATTGTCACATGTATAAGCAGATGGCTGGAATATTTGTAGTTACTATTGTCGCATAAACAATCTGGCACTTGTGTCTAAAAATGCAGCTGTCGTCATGGCGTTATGATGTCATAACAGTAGAGGATGCGCTCAATGACATTTAACAGTGAAATCAGACTGCAGCGCGGCGCCACCTACCGGCGCTCAGACGGAACTACAGCAGCTCACGGATAAGAGCTTTGGGGAACCACTGGGGTCATTCAGCTTTAAAGACCTGTTGAATGTTTTCAGAAACCATAAAGCGCAAATACACTTTTCAGACCTCCATCAGAAAACCTACAAAGTGTAAGTTGAAGAAATTTGCAGTCGGTAAACCACTATGCCCAGATGTTCTCAAAACTAATGCAGCAATAATCTTCAACACTGTTATATCAAACACTCTCACAAAAAAAAGGTACAAAAGCTGTCAACGGGGCAATACCTTTGCATACCAGTGTTGCTATTTATACTAATCTGTATCATTAATATACCAATACGTACACTTTAGTTAATAATTAGATACTAATGTGTACCTTTAAGGTACTAATATGTAAATAAGTAGGGGGAAACAAGTTATAAATGTATACCTGTTGAAATGGTACCACCCTAGTGACCATATAGATATTAGCTAACATTTTCAAAAATAAAATTAAAATAAAATAAAATAAAAAAGATAGAAAGAGAAAATGTATAAAAATCCAGTGGGACGACAAAGGCCACATTTGTGCAAATATATAATTTAAACATTAATATATATTATTACAAATATATATATATATATAAAAAAAAAATATATATATATATATATATATAAGCGCAATAGTTCCAAAAAGTGTTATTATAGTAACATTAAGACGCTATTATATTTTATGCAATTATGCAGTTTTTGCCACATAATTTGAAATATTTCCTAATTGTACTAATTTTTCCAGGTTTAAATGGGAAAAAAAAGAATCAGATCTCACTGAATGATCTCAGCTTTCATAATAGACACATGCATGACATTAACATCAGGAGAAAGCTCATGAGTCATCACAAGCCCTGCATCTGTTCTTGACCACTTTCGTGATCACAAAGCATCTTCCTGAGCACATCATCTCCAAAAAGCAAGTCATCTTCCTCCTTGAATATCGTTGATGCTGACCTACAGTAGCAGACTACAGACATTAATGAGAATGCCGGCTCACAGAAGTCCTGCAGACTGTCAGATCTTACCTTGTTTTCCCTGGTGCTGACGTGTGACCGAAGCCAGCCAATGCAGAGAGTGAAGCGCACCTCCAGAACAGCAGCCCAGAGCAATAACATTGAAAGGTTGTCTCAACCCGGTGGAGGGAGAGAGAGATGTGTGGGACGCCGTGTCCCTTCAGTGATGGAGCGTTTGACCTCTGGAGGTCAGCGGGGTCGCCATGCTCCCAAACCACACGCTCTGCTTCCCACTTGGGAAGTGTTTAACCTGAGCAGCTCTGGATCAATCTCTCTCTCTCTGCAGAACTGAATGCCTAATAGCTGAAATTTTCATTTACTGAAAGCTGTAAAAACAACTTGTACTGAATCTTTGCTACTTTCTGGCATGAGACAACAGGCCGTCAAGCTTGTGCTGATCATTCAGTCTGATCTGAACAGGCTGACATTACAGCACACATTATTTTATGAATCTGTCACAAGATTCAGCTCTTGAAGCAGCGCATATTATAACAGACTGTAAACCCGTCACCGGTGAGATTAAAAATGCAGCAGCAAATGAACAAAAATGAGCAAATAATGGCACCTTAATTGCTGCTCTAGGAATTAGAGAGGGTGTAAAATAAAAACGAGTTTTGGTTACATAGTGCTAAAAATAAAATGTCATTATTTTAAAAAAAGTTGCAATATATACCTGCATACCAGTGTTGCTGTTTATGTACATTGACATTAATTTAAAGACAAGAAATGGTAACTAAAATATAAACAAACAAATTTCTAATTTTCAATTAAGTAAAACGAATATTTAAAAATTATAATAAATACAAAAAAATATGAAAAACCATTCAAATTAGTTATTTCTAATTTTCAGTTAAAGTACTAAAATGACTTTAAAATTAGAATAATAAAAACTAACTACATATATACATATACATAGATAAACTATGCACATTCATTTAAATAAAATTAATGTTACTGAAATAAAATATAAGTTAACTCATTTCTAATTTTCAGTTAGATTAGGATTAGAATTATAAATTAATACAAAAAATTATTTAAACAGACAACTATTAACTGAAATAAAATATAAACAAACTTATTTCTAATTTTCAGTTAGTTTAAGTCCTAAATTTTAAAAGCGTCTATTAGAGTATAAATTAGAACAAACCCAGAAACTCTGAGCTTAGTTGGTGTTCGTGATCTGTGGAGAAACCAATGACAGATTTTATGAAACATTTCATCATTAGCAGTGATACATTACATTCATTCAGTCATTCATTTGTTTGTTCTTCTGCTTTATTATGATTTACAAAAACAAACCATTTAACTTAAAATAAGTTTTAAAAAAAAGTTGCCTTGAACTGAAAGTCAATGAATATGTGTGGCAGACTGAGAGAAGACAGCTGAATGTGAGGAGATAAAAAAAAATTAAAAAGAAAGCGTGAGAGTGAGAGAAAGCGAGAGAGAGCTTTTATCACGTTATCGGGCCATGTGCCTGTTTGGATAAAGGCCCAAAAAAATGCAGAGTGAAATAGAGAAAATCTATTTCTCTCACGAGTTTTAAGGATGATGCTAAATGTAGAAAATCATATCAAATATTGTCAAAAGAATTCACACGTTTCTTTTTGTTCAATGTTCTAATAATCTTCGCAAAACAAAAACATACTGTGCAAATAAATATTAGGAGAGAAACCTGCACTCAGTGTTTTCCTCAGTCACAGATGTTCTTGGATCACTTGGCTTTTCACAATATGACGCAGTTTTTTTTGTGTTTTCAATAAATATGTTTCATATATACGGGTGAATCACAAAAAAAAAAACACATGTCCAGGTTTTACTTAACCCCCAAATCAAAAGAAAATAAAAATGTATTATGCCTAAAATGACTATATTTGAGTTATTTTCATGAGAATTAAGCATTTATTTACCATAATGCATTCAGATGTGTTACTCAGACTCATTACTGTAATGCAGTATTACAATATAAAATGATTTATCAAATTAAAGGCAGTACAACTAACAATATAATCTATAAACATGAATTCAATCATTTTTTTTTTTTTTGCATTACAGCAAACTGTGCTTTATTGTCATGAAAATAACAATTTTCAAAAATGTATTCAATTCAAAAGTAAAGTTATTGGTGGTTCTAAAATAGGCTTTAGCATAATAGTTTCTTTTTTTTCTTCTGATTTTGAGGTGAAATGTGACTGGTTTTGTGAGATTCACCCATTCGCACGTTCACATATCAGCCACTTTTATCCATAAAATACAAATCAAATGATAAAAAAGGTTCTACTTGGTCACGTCCCTCTCGAGAGACAC